TGGAAGTTGTGTCAAGTTAGATTCATTCTGCATCTAATGTGTTTCACTTACTCCTCTTACTTTCTGGTTTCTATCTGAAGCCACAGAACAATTTCTCAGCTATGACTCAGTCCTAGAACCACAGTGGTAGCACAGGTCTAAATTACCCTCTGTCTCCATCACCAACACTCGTTCTTTCATCCAAAAAAGAAAGTACATTATTAATTCAGGATGCGGCTGCTTTCTTTAAATAATATAGTGTTTTCCAATTGTTCATATACAATCTAGCCAGTCCACACTGCTCTTTCAAATGTTTTTGATTACTGAGCTTTAAAAAATATTTCTACAAAAATTTGCAAGTCACCAAGGAGAGTGTATCTTATGCTACAATTTCAAATTTACACAAGACAAAAGAAAAGTTGGAGATTCTCAGGAATTTCCATGGTTGAAATTCAGTTTTCAACCCAAGAGAACATTTACACTTCAAAACACTTAAGATAATACTATGAGTTTTAGTTTAAAAATAAAATCATACTTGATTTTACCTTGTATTAAAAAGATATGTATATTAAAATGAGGTTTAAGGAAGTCCTGATTTGCAGTAAAATTGTGGTGGAATTTGGCTTTACTTACATCTCACAAAGGCTATGCTAATAAGTAAACAAAATATAAATATAGTCAATTTATCCATTTTATTAAGTATTAATTAACTTTTCATTTTTAATGAGTCTCTTAACTGGGCCATTTTAATTCTTTTAAAAATATATTAGAATGTCTCATTTGGAGAAAACAGACCCATATATTTCATTGATGTTTTTGTTTCCTAAAAATACTTTTTCTCTGAATTCCTTTAAGTCAATTGATAACCTATTGGAAAAATTTAGAGCAATCTCCATTTAGTCAAATTTTATGACAGACTTGGTATTGAATGACATTTGACCACACCTAAATCACAAACCATTTTCAAGAACCACCAAATTGTTATTCCTAGCTTCATTCTATAGAGAATACAGAACCACTTCTGGTGATTTAGAGAACTGAAAAAAAAAATGTTTTCTTTCTTTTGAATTTTGTTCTTTATTTCTTCTTTTTTAAATTTTATTTTTTTTAATTTTATGTGTATGTGTATATCGCCTGCATGTGTGTTAGTGCACTCATGTCATGCAACACCTGTGAAGGACAGAAGAGGCTGTCGATCCTCTGGAACTGGAGTTATGGACAATTGTCAGCTGCCATATGGGTGCTGGGATTTGAACTCGGGTCTTCTGCAAGAACAGTCAGTGTTCTTAACCATTGAGCCATCCCTCCCGCCCCTATTTCAAAATAGAGTCTCCCTGTAGCCCCAGATGACCTAGAACTTGCTACATAGACCGGGCTGGACTGGATCTCACAGAATGCTGAGATGAAAGGTGTGTACCATCATGCCTGAGTTAAAAAGTTAATTTCTGAAGTTGGCTATATATTAAGAGAAATTTTGGAGATGGGGCTGGAAAGATGGGTCAGTGGTTAAGCGCACTTGCTCCTTTTGTAGAGGACCCAGGTTCAGGTCCCTGCACCCACACAGCAGCTAACAACCTGTTAACTCCAGTTCCAGGAGATTCAACACCTCTTCTGGCCTCCATGGGCATTGCATGCACAGGTATACTTATATAAATGCAGGTAAAATATGTACACATAAAATTTAAAAATAATTTTTTTTAATATTTATTTTTTTAAAAATATTTTATTTATTATTATTTTATGTGTATGAGTGTACTGCCTGCATGTAGGTAAGTGTACCCATGTCATACAATGCCTGCGGAAGTCAGAGGAGGGCAGCAGATCCCCTGGAACTGGACTTGCAGACCATTGTTAACCATCATGTGGTGCTGGGAATTGAATCTAGGTCTTCTGCAAAAGCAGTCAGTCTCTTAACTGCTGAGCTATCGCTACAGCCCCATAAATAAATAATTTCTTTAAAAGAAAATTATGGAGGAAAATTTTGAAAGAAACACACTTCAGTATACAAATTTTAATACTTTAAAAATATCGTGTTTAAATTTTTACAGATTAAGAACTATTCAATCAAAAGGAAAGGAAATTAACTTAAATCTATTACTTAAAGTTAGTTAATGAATCATTCTAAATTAATCTTTAACATGTGCAAGTGCATAAGCTTAAGGACAACTGGAATCTGTACTAAATATAGGAATCAAATGTAAGAAAAGCTGTATTTACAATGATTTTCATGTTTTACATGTCAAGTGCAGATTGTACTTGAAGCTAACACCCTAAGTTAATAGAAGTAATTTGTACTTCAGGAAGAAAAGATTTGTTTGGTGTTTATAAAATGTTTGTTGTCTTAAGCCTTTTTTCCACTTGCTGTTAGGTGTCTATCTTCATCCAAATCTTCACCATGCATACTTCTCAGAGACGGACAGAAACTTAGTAATTTATTATTTGTTACATTATTCTGAAACTACCAAACCCACAACAATTAATACATTTGCCAATACCAATTCCACTTTACTGCTGTTATCTAGTTAGTTTAGTATGAAAGAATTCATAGCAGAGTTAAAACCACAGTCAATAGCTATTCTAAATTATGCTGATATCTCTGGTTATTAGTTACATTATTCTACTCTTAGCTACTGAAGAAATGTTCCACACGATGCAAAAAAACGAAATGCCTAATTTCACATATGCGAAAAATATAGAAATGACAAAGTAGTGAAAGAACTCATTCTATATCAGTAAAGCCTTCATTACAAAGTGGCAGTAATTCTTCCAACTTATTTACATTTAGCATAGTGAATCATAACGATTAGCAATGATATTTTAGCACCTCCCTGAAGAAGATGCTAGGGTAATGGCCTGTGTCTTTGGGGCGATAGGAACAAGCATCTACACACCGCTGATAAGGATACAACCACAGACTAAAGTAAGGGTTCCACCAAAATCCGACTTGATGAATGAGTTTTATTGGGATTACTTATAGGGCTAGAAATGACTCAAAGACAGCTACATCACCAAAGTCCACCCAAGCATGAGTGACGACAGTTCATGAGTACAGGAGCTGTAGGGTTTCCAGCAGCTCAACAGGTCAGAGAGAGACTTTTTCAAACAGTTTAACTGTTCCTTCCTGTTTCCAGCAGCTCTTCCTGAAATCTCAGCTGGCCTGGGCCACTTAGAGGCAGTTGGGCTTGCCTGAGAGCTTCTCTCAGCAGTTCTTGTGGCTTTTATGCTTGGAAAGGGAGGGGTCCTAGTGAATCTGGTCAGTTTGGGGGTCTTCCTGAAGCTTTTTAGCTGTTTACTTACTGAGTTTATGAGCTTCCCTACAGGTCAGAATTTTTCACTTCCCTTAAGAACATCTTGTTTCTTAACAAGCTTCCATCCAAAGTGGACTGTTATATCTTGAAGGAAATTACTACAGAACAGCCAGTTTTCTTACCCAGGCCTGTCTGACATCAAAGGATGCATGCCCCTATCATTCAAATCACAGCATCAACATTTCATAAAATGTCAATAGTGCATGAATAAGTATTTTTCTTTTATATTTTTCTGGTTTCTTACTCATCCTGCAAACTTGATCATGAAAACAACTACACAGGATAACAAGATTAGTCAAAACCTAAGTAGTTGATTATCCAAATCCACTGCTAAAATAAGTTATTTTGATGACAAGTCCAAAATAATCTGAAACTAAAATGCCAGTAGGCAAGGAATTATTTTTTCCCCTACACAATGTGACATATTATCGGAACGTACTAGAAGTTATCATCCAGAATAAGATGTTCACTCTACAGGTTCAAAAACTACATGAATACATGTTATGCTTTAGTGGTCACAGGAGGAAAATGGGACAGGATTGAATGGAGTATAGAAGGAGAGGAGACGAAGGGAGGAGGGGCTAAAACAAGATGAGAGGGTAGAAGGAGAAGGAAGAAGGAAGAAAACAAAGCACAAATTCTCCTTACTAATCCTTCCAGAAAAGGGCAGGAATACATATATACACCTGAGGTTCTTCCCCCTGCCCCAACTTTTACTGCTGTTCATCTTGGAACTAAATTTATTTTTTTTAAAGAATTAAGAGCTTATTGATAGTTTAGTCATTGTGGCAACCCACAGCTGCCAACCAGGAGCCAGGTTAGCATACCCCTGCATCTGGCACATGCCCACTGTCCTTGGGGGACAGCACTGGAACTTGGAGAGTATCCATGGCAAGCATCTCTTTGCCCTGGTCTCAGCCTTCTCTGAGAAGCCAAAGGTAGGGCATGGTGGTACACACCTGTAATCCCAGCACCTGATAGGTGGAGGGCCCAAGGTCATCCTTGGCTACATTGTGAATTTTGGCCAGTGTGGGCTATTATATACACCCCACATCAAAACAAAACCCCAAATGAGAGACTCAAAGATCTCATAACTTAGGGAGTTTTCACTGGCTATTCCACCATTCAATGTGCAACTCAGCTGGGAGATCACATACCACATTTTGGAGGTTTTGCCGGAGACAGGGTTTTGATGGTCTGCTGCTTGAGGTGCCTTGCCCATACAAAACAAAATGGAAGAAGCACCTCCTAGTCAAGAATCACAGAGGGCCACCACTTTGATCAGCACTGTATGAGCTCAACTACTTCAAGCCCATTTTCTCTGTCAGGGCCCTAGCACATCCATTGGCTAGGTACTGGCCTGGGACATGAACAGCAATCCAGCAGCACACCCCAGCTAGATCCCACTGGTGATGGTGCCCACCAGTGGGAACTAAATCTTAAATGTGCTATGCGATCCCGTGCTACATGGAACTTTTGTTTTCTTTGTTTTGTGAGACTCATCTTTGATGTTGATTAGCTGTCTGAACATGCTGAGGAGTTTCTTGGGGTTAAAATTTGAGCATTGCTTTAGGTGAGATCACAGAAATTTGCTTTCTTGTGAAGAAGAGATATTTGAGAGTGATGTATTCTCTCTCTCTCTCCCTCCCTCTTTCTCTATTTACCATCTCAGTTCTTATATTGCTAATATGAAATATGCTCTTTTGCTTTCAGGTCTAGATGTTGATGGAATATATCGAGTTAGTGGCAATCTGGCAACAATACAGAAGTTAAGATTTATTGTCAACCAAGGTAAGTGATTGCTTTACTTCAGACTTTTTTTCAGTAGTTACATCTCTAACAATACTTCAGACTGTTGTGTGTGCTGTGAACAGATAAAAAGCTTTGAGGGGAGAAAGAAAACCCGAAGAAATTAAGAAATTATTAAAAATAAATAATAACCAATTTACTTGGAGATAAATAGAATAAAAGCTCAACCTAACAGCTCATGTGAAATAAATAATGAGTGAAACTGACCAAAGTAAAAAGTGGGGAAGAAAATAATAAAAGAATAAAAGAAAAATATCAGCTTTGAAAAAATGTTACTGACTTATAATAGGCACTTGATATGTACTGATATATGAAAGAATGAACCAATGATGTAAGAATCAAATCACAGATGTTCAAAAAATATAATAGATAAGAAAAAGAAATAAAAATTAGGATTTGTGTATGTTATCAAAGAGATACAGATTAAAACGGTAAAACAGCACCAATACGTATTTAGTGGAAACAGAATGGCACCTCACTGTGACACCGAGATAGATGTTAATGAAAATAAATGTATTCTTACTTACCATGTGCTTTGGCCTTTGCGTAGCCTGCTAGGTCCAAACATAAACCTGCACATAGTATTTACAGACATATTCATAACTAGCAAAAAGTTGAATGCAAGATCGAAACATATCTTAGGGGTTGAGTGTCTCCTAGCACACATAATGCACAAGACTCTGGGTTCCTTTACTAGCAAGGAAAATAAGAACTTGAAGGCGATAAAATGTCTTTCAGTAGATGAGTGGATAAACAATTGTGGTCCATCCCACAACAGAATATTACTCAGTAATAAATAGAAACCACCTATGAGCTATGAACAGACTTTAACTTTAAATATATATTGCTGAACAGATGAGACCAAAGACTAGACAAGAAAAACTACAACATTCTGAGAAATCAAAGCATAGACATAGTGAAAGATTTGTGGTAACTAGGAATTTGCAAGGGAAGAGCTGAGTAAGTGAGCACAGAATTTGAGAATAGATAATTTTGGGTGACACTGGCATTGCCAAGATCCGTAAAATACATAACACAAAGAATGAGCCGCAATATAAACTATGGACACTAGCAATTAATATGCGCATTTTGTCATGTAACAAAGTTACCTTATTAATACAAGTTGTTAATACTGGAGGAAACTCAAAAGTATGAGGAGGTATAACTAACTGCTGCATTTTTCTATGAACTTAAAACTAGTATTAGAATGTATATTAACTAAAACTAAAGATAAGAAAATTTGGAAATGAAAATGGGAGTCGTAAATCATCTTAGGGTGATGTTATAAACAGTTCTTTAAACTCTTTGTGTCTGTGTTTCTTTTTCATTAAAAATGGTAGGATGATGTATACTGCTTTGAAAATGTTTGTGAAAATGAAATTAAAGCAGGGCTGGAGATACAGCTCAGTGGTTAAGTGCACTTACTGCTCTAGCAGAGGATCTAGGTTTGGTTCCTACCACCTATATCAGGTAGCTCACAACTGCTTGTTACTCCAATTCCAGGCTTCTGTGGGCACCTATATGCATGCAGTATATATACATATACTCAGGTTCACAAACATACACATAAAATAAAATAAAAATTAAAATGTTTAAATTTTTTCAAGAATGAAATTAAACAACATATATGATGGTTCCTAGTAATGTGACAGATTCATATTAGTTTGTTTATTATTAAAAATAGTCAGTGGTGGCCTCAAAAAAACTTATAATGCCTCATAATGTGACTTCATATCTAGTTTTTGAGAGTGTCAGATCCTCTGAATCACCTTGTTATTTTGTGTGGCTAACGTTGTTTTGTGTGGTTAATGATCCTCTGAATCACCTTTGTACTGTTTTGTGTGGTTTACGTTGTTTTGTGTGATTAATGTTGTATCTCTTGTTGCTGGAGATTGAAGCCAGGACTTGCACATGTTCAACATGTGTCGTAACACTGAGCTGTATTCAAAGTCCATTACACGGTCTTTTCGGTTGTCATCACACACTGGCCTACTGCTGCCCTTCACAGTGTTTTGAAATATTCTTTCTCTTAACTGGGTGTGGTGGCACAAGCCTTTTATCCCAGCATTTGGGAGGCAGAGGCAGGCAGATCTTTGTGAGTTCAAGGCCAGCCTGGTCTATATAAGTTTTAGGCCAGCTGGGACTACAGGGAGATCCTGTCTCAAAAAGACCAAAAAAAAAAAAAATTATTTCTCTTAACTTTCAATATCTTCTTATCTTTTCTTTCTTTCCCTACATACACAACCTTTCTGAAGCATGGTGGAGTTTATTTTCTTATTGTTCAAGGCCCAAACTGTCAAGTATCTTCCTTCAAGAAGTCTCCTGTCTGGCTTGTCCTCTGTGCTCTCCTCACACAGGGTAGTTGAATATACAATAGTATACTCAGATTAATATCTAAAATTCCATCTATGTTAAGACCCACAGTTTTAATACTATCTTTAGAAAGAAGGAAATTAAATGTACCTGGTGATTATCTATCAAGAAGCACTAAAATTTGAAATCACTGATCTCAAAAAAACAGGATATAACTTGAAATATCTGTCTTTTACACAAATTTCTATAAAAGTTTAGATTTGAAACATGCTTGTTTTTTAAAGATTTATCTTATTGTTTTTACTATGTGTATATATGAGTCTGTCTGTAGGCTGATGTGCTCAGAAACCAAAGATGTAGAATTTCCCTGGAGCCAGAGTCACAGGCAGTTGTAAGCCACTGATGTGGGTGCTGAGAATCGAGCTATGGTCCTCTACAAGAACAGTCCATACTTTTTTTTTTAAATGTGTTTGCGTGTATTGCCTGCATGTAGGTAAGTGCATCCATGTTGTGCAATGCCCATGGAGGACAGAAGAGACTGTCGGATCCCCTGGAACTGGATTTACAGACAGTTGTTAGCTGCCATGTGGGTGCTGGGATTCAAACCCGGGTCTTCTGCAAGAACAGTGTTCTTAACTGCTGAGCCATCTCTCTAGCCCCAATTAGTACATACTCTTAACCACTGTGCTTTCTCTCCAATCCATTGTTTTGCTTTCTTTAATAAACCAGTACTAGTCATGAGGCCTCTCTATGTAGAGTTCTTCATTAGTATTTGTGAAGTGTTTGTGTGTGTGTGCGCGCGCATGTGTGTGTGTGTGTGTGTGTGTGTGTGTGTGTGCGTGTGTGTGTGTGGTGTATGCCTGAATATCCCTGTGCACACTGTAGGTAGAAGTATTAAAACCAGTAAGCATTAAGCTCTTCTGCATAAATTGGATTCAGGTGGAACCACTCTTTTATGGGTTGAGTGTAGTTCTTTTGGCTCATTGCCCTATAATTCTTGTTTCTGAGAATCTGTAATAGCTCTGCTAATTGACTAACTTGACTGGGCAAAACACAGATCTAAATAAATGCTACATCATTTATTCATATTGGTTGGAACCACAGTGTCCCTTCTGCAGGTTAAAAATTGTATAAAATAGCCCAGCCTCATTTTATTCTGTTTATAACCAGATAAAATCATTCTTGTAAGATATCTCATGCTGAAACGATATCCTGATTGGGATTCTAGACAGCTGGGCAACACATTTCTCCTACAAAGAAGAAATCTCAAAACAGAAGCCATGCTAGCAACAAACACTAGCTGCATTTCCTGCCTTTAAAAAATTATGCTCAGCAGTTTGAAAAGGAAGAAAAACAATCTGCAATGAAAATATGAAATCTATCCATCTCATCTTTTACAGTCCAAACTTGAGCATCCTCAGAGGCTTTGTAGCTGCTCATGTTTCCAGGAAAGTTGACAATGTAAAGCTGAGCAGAGGCCTGAGTTGGTGTCTGTAGCACAGAATTGTCAGTAAACAGTCTTCCTATTTTACAGCACTGTAAGAATACAGTACATTCAACACAAACTCTGCTACATTAGAACCCTTGATTCTGTGACTGTCCAACTTATGTTCTAGAGTTTTTCAAATTAAATGATAAATGAAATGTCTATATACCAGCCATTTTCAAATTTGATGTGGAAGTTATTCTTTGAATTTATTCTCTGGAGTGATTTAATAATCCTTGTTACTAACAACATACCTTACTCTCTTTTACACCAGGGCTCTAACAGTAGTGCTAACACAGAGGAGAATCAATGCTGGGAACAGTAGCAGGCATATGAGAATCCATGCACTTGTGAGAATCCACATGTGCGTGTGATTAAATAAAACAGTGCTGCTATCATGATCCTATGAAAAGTATACAGTGCTACCCAAACATAATACATACATTTTGTAGTTTCATATGGGGCATAAATGAGTTTGGTATATCATTCATCTAATAACATCTTTTATCTTCTCCATGTTCATTTTACATAATGTTTCTTTTTAAATAGGATCTAAATATATATTTTTTAAATGAATAAGCCCTTCCCATTATTAGACTACACAAATGAAAACTGATTTTGGAAATTTTCAAGAACAGTTGAATTACAATTTATGTGTTTCACTGACTTTCCTGAATGCTATAATCATCAGCAATTCTAAATACATCAGTTGAATGATTCAATTTGTTTTGGTTTTCTGTTTGACTCACTAAACCAGAAAGAATTAGATACCCTTATTATACTTCCAGATCAGATGACATACAAGTTAAATTCAAAGTGATCACTTTTGCAAAGCATTTCCTAATTAAAACTAGTAATGATGATAATAATTTCATTAAATAAGTAGCTTTTCATAATTTACTGTGTCAGACTATACACTGAATGCCCTATATATAATTTAATTTTATCTTCAACCTCATAGTGAAGATACAACTATTAAGCCCATTTTTAAATGAGGAAACTGAGGTGAGGTCCAGATGCTAAATAAAGTCCCAAGAACAGCCAAGATATAATTAAGGGATTAAAGGGGGTAGGACTAGATCTCCGCTCTCTGACTCAGAGTCTGTGTTGCAAACCTGTGTCAGAAATTGGTATTTCCATTCATTGGCTCTTTATTAAATCCTTACAAAAGCAGATAACTGTC